TAAGGAGCTGCTCACTGCTGTCATTTGATTATTATTTACCATATATCTGTATCAAACCAGCACACTGATTCCCATAATGTATACAATTATGCGTCAGTCAAAAAGAATCCATTCTGATGCCTTCAAAGAGATAATATGAAATGCTGGTAGGGATGTGTAGAAGCTGGAACCTCTACACATCACTGGCAGGAGTGTAAAGTGTACTGCTAAATATTTACCCTGGAGAACAGAACATATATGTCCACAGTTACACACAAATGTTCATAGCGGTATGCAAAATAGTCCCAAAGTGAAAACAGAAATGTCCACCAATTTGTGAATGAATAAACAAACGTGGATCCGTACGGTGGAATATCATTTGATCATAAACATGAAAGAAGTACTCACATATGCTACAATGGGAGGAGTCTTGAGAAGCATGAAGTGAGAGAAGCCAGACATGAAAGACCATGCATTTGATCATTCTGTTAATTTAAAATGTCTAGAACAGACAACGCCACAGATAGACTCCTCATTATTTTACTTCTATCAGGAAAAACATCTGAGGTTTTCTATCAGGATACACAGATGCACTTCCTACTTTCCAACAGTGACATGACAATGTCATTACACTGGTGATTTACATAACCAATTCTCTATTAATAAACACTTTTAAAAAAGAAAACAACTCTGCCTTTCCTTCCAAAGACACTGAAGGCAGCATGTCACAGGAGTACATGCTGCCACCAGCTCTTTTTCGTAAATCTAGGCACTCTGGCCTCTTTAAACATGCAAATCCAAGACCAATGCCCCCTCTTAGCCAGTTCTCAGATCAGTGCCCAGTGCTGTCAAGGGCCTCACACTCACTCTACTAAGATGCCCAACTCCACGCATTGTTGGTGCCAGATCAGATAGAGGGGGAAAAATGGTCACTGACACAAAAAGAATTTTAGATTTTCCAAGGAAAAGCCACTTGACTCCTGCGGGCTTCTTATCTTGACTGACACCTGTTCTGGATCCAAGGAAAGACATTAAGTAAATGATATTCTGGGAGGATGAGGAAAACACACTGACATCTGAGGGTTGGCAATGTAAGATAGGGAGCTGCTTCTCTTAGAAGATAGAATTTCATTTAGTGTTTTTAAAATGCTTTAAATTCTTAGTCTAAATTACTTCCTCAAAAATGGGACAGTGTTTTCCAGATCAGTTATTCCATCCCTATACCCATGACTTGAAAGACATTCCCAGATAAATTGGAGTTAGTATAAACTTAATGCATTAATGATAAAGCATATAAAATGTTTATGTTTAATAACACTTTAATGAATCAATAAATGTTTGCTTGAAAATATAAGACTAGCGGATTGATTTTCTTTGGGGGAGGGGTGTTGGAAATCACTTAAAAATAGTCCTTCTGCTTTAAATTTGAACTATTACAATGATTACATTAAAATTTTTTATAACAATACATTTCAAGGCTAAATTTTCCACAAAGTAAAAATGCTTCAAAAATCTACTTATTAGAAAATTAAGTTGATGAAGGAATAGGTCACTAAAAGTAAAGTCAAACAGAGCAGAGTGTGGCACAGCGGTTAAGATGCTGCTTGCGATGTCTGCAGCCCATGCTGGACTAGCTGGATTACTGTCCTAGCTCAACCTCCAATTCCAGCTTCCTGTTCACTGTGTGCCCTGGGAAGAGCAGATGATGGCTCAAGTACTTACTTGGGTCCCTGCCACCCCTATGGGCGACCCTGATGGAGTTCTTGGCTCCTGACTTTGATCTGCTCCAGCCCTAGCTATTTTGGGCATTTGAGGAGTAAACTAGTAGATGGAAGATCTCGCTCTGTTTGTCTGTCTCTGTTTCTACCTGTGCTTCTTGCAAATTAAAAAAAAGCATAGAACCAATACACTCACATCATATGTAGGTAAAATTAAAAGAAGGCAGTCAGTGTTGTCACACAAAGCATTACCTTACCACAAAATATTCCTAATGTCACAATAGGCACTTAGTCTCAATTCACCTTTATAATAAAAATTATTTTGTAAAAGAACTATTATGTATTTCTTAGAGAAAGACTTATTAGAAGTAAAACTCTGAAATTCAGGGGGCTTGAGTTATATCCCTATAACTCTACAGCAAAAAACTCTTCCCTCCAAACAGGATACACCAAGTGTTTAACACATTAATTATCATCCTTCATCAAGCATAAAACCAACAGTCAGGAAATACAGCTGCAATGGCACAATTACCAACACACTCAGAATAAACCCTGGAGCAAAAAAAACAAATGGCTTGCTTTTCATTAACAGAGCCCGGCCACCATTTCCAAAGACAGTGTTTGCTTTCCAGTCAGAGTCCCAAAAGGCGGCTAAGGGGCATTTGCTTTGGTACAGCCAGAGAACAAATCAACCATGAAAATACTTATTTGAATTTCAAGATCTCCATGATCAATATACAGTGCCACTCAGAACAAAAGTATTATACATACATCAATTAAAAGAAGACCTTAGGGGCCGGCACTGTGGCGTGGCACATAAAGCTGCTGCCTGCAGCGCCAGCATCCCATATGGGCACCAGTTTACGTCCCGGCTGCTCCACTTCCGATCCAGCTCTCTGCTATGGGTTGGGAAAGCAGTAGAGGATAGCTCAAGTCCTTGCGCCCCTGCACCCTAGTAGGGGACCTGGAAGAAGCTCCTGTCTCCTGGCTTCAGATCAGCACAGCTCTGGCCATTGTGGCCATCTGGAGAGTGAACCAGTGGATGGAAGACCTCTCTCTCTCTCTCTGCCTCTGCTTCTCTGTGACTCTGCCTTTCAAATAAATAAACAAATCTTTAAAAAAAAAAAAAAGAAGACTTGATAAAATAAAAATCTTATTAGCACCAGACATATTTTAAAAAATACTGGTGCAAGAAGATTGTGAAGCCAAACAGCAGCCTCATAATGAATGATGATACAAACGACATTTGTGGTCTTGGTTTTCATGTTTCCTTGCATACAATATGTATGCAATGTGCCTATCTATGTAATAATGAGTTGTGTAGAACAACTCAGATATATACTGTAACAGACTGGAGTTTACATAAAGAATTCTAATGTAGCGAGTCACGGTTGAAAGTGTTACAGAGCAGTGTTATGGAGAGGCACTCAAAGCACAGGTTAGGCAGGATTTGCCTCTGGACACATTCTGGGCATCACTACAACATGGCTGTTCTTCAACAGATGTACTGCTCCTACCCAGAGTGCATCACCGCCACTCCACGAGCTGTTAATGAAGTCATAATTGAAGGAAAGTTCTGAGGGTATCAAAGGTAACGGAGAGTCTCCTGTCCAAAATGTTTGTGATCATGTCCAGAACCATGGCGGTCAAATTGATGATCGGTCTCTGCCCAGAAATCCTGCCCAGCATCAGCTCACTCTTGTCTGCAGGGTGAGCAGCCTGGCAGACACGAAGGAGCCGCATTTTCCACTGCACAGCATGCCAGGAGTACACACAGGGGTCCTTCTGGGACTGTGGCACCAATTCAATTTCATATCATAGTTTTCTATGCAATTCACCTCAACCTGAAGTTTTCTTTTCTTATATTTGGGGGTGGCATCATTTCCTCGTCTACTTGGCTGAGGGGTACAGCTCTCTTTCAAAAAACAGAGAACCTCTGAAGCAGTATACAAAACAGCACCTCATGTGTATTCCTGCGCCCAGAGCTGAAAGTCACCCAGGAGATTCTGCCCAGGCCCACGTGAGAACTGTGAACAGCGTGTGATCATTGTGGTCAGTCCACTGTGGTCACGACGGCTGCTTCCTAAGGTGTGGGAAGCAGCAGTAAATCAGAGAGAAGACACACAGCCCCTACCAGCAGCGGTACCATTGCCAGCGTGAGGGGAAGGCTGCAGGCTTACATGTGCAGAATATTCGGCTGGACAGAGAGGGACACATGGAACCAGAAGGCCCCTCCGTCACTGCTGAGAGTGAGCAGAGCAGAGCTCAACATCTGACTGCCTGCGGCCGGCGGCCTGCGAGTGAGCACCCGTGACCGTGCAGCGAGGAGCCGGGAGGGCGAGGGAGGAAGAACTCCATGGTCGGCTCTCCCGCACGGGGGTCGCTCAGGTCCGTCACAGGCTGAGGCATCTCTCACGGGACCTTCATTTTCAAGACTGGCATCTGCAAGGTTTCCATCTTAAGACTTTGAGGGACGCAGTGACTTTACAGACATCTTAAAATCAAGGAAGCATTTTAAGGCAAAGACAAAATGCCCCAAACAAAGCAGCTTTTTAATGTTGTGAGTTTGTCAAGCAAAGCGTTGGGATACAAATTGCCTGAAAAACTAGAAGCAAGGCAATTTCCAGGTGAACTTGAGCTAGTTCTTGCCTATGTGGTTTTTTTTTTTTTTTCCTTTTTCAAAGATACAACCTGGTAACAAAGCACCCATTCTTCTCTCACCATTCTTAAAATCCTTTTGGAAGCAAAATCACTTCCTTATCTCGATAAAAATTCATTCCCAGCAACCATCAGGGAGAAAAATAATTCCGTATTCAGTTTCAATACTGAGAGTTAGAGTCTGTACTTCTGTCCCTTCTGAGGGAAGAAATAACTGAGTTTGCTGATTTTTCACTTATAAAATATTACTGTAGTTTTACAGAAAAGTGTACATCTGTATTCAATGGTACTCTCAGAATAGAGGATTTTTCCAAAGTCAGAGAGCAAAGAGAACACCTTAAATGAATGAGTATGTCTGGATTTAGTAACTGCAAGTAACCAAGCGCACGCAATCTTCTCTTCGGCCGTGTCTACCAAGTATCACAGAGAAGCAAAGGCAGTCACCGGGGTTGAGTCCCTCTCCCAGGACCACGGATCGCCGGGTCCATCTGAGGTTTTGGATTGCATCTGCGTGTACAGCAATCATGGCACTGAAGACTGACACATAAACATGACCCTGCTGGGCGTCCAGCGCTCTCTCTGACCTCGTACGCTGCAATGGAGCTCTGGGTAAGATTTTCAAGAGGCCTCTCCTAGCTTTCCTACCTTCAGCGTGGTGAACTCATATGGCTGGTAACCTCTGAAGCTCTCGTGGATGGCGGCCATCGTGTGGGAAGTTTTCTCCCAAAAATGAAGCAGGGTAGTCTGCAAAGAGAGGCGGGAAGCGATTCGTGTTCTGAACGCCGAGTTCCAGCCGCAGGCCTCTGAAGGAGGCGTCCAGCTCATCTCGGCACCCATTAGGTTTCCCACTGGGTCCCTGTGCACACCTCAGATTTCAGCCCATAAATGCCCGGGATTCCCCCAAACACTGCCTCCCACGGCACACGTGGCTCCCTCCACCTGGAACCCTCCCCTCTCCGTTCTCTGTATCAGTCACTCCATTCTTCAAACCCCAGTCTAGGCAGAAACAATCTTGCTCTGATACTCCTCAACTGTTTGAGTTTTCCTTTCTCAAACCCCATGGAGTCGTCTAGAATTTTTTTCAGTGAGCACTTTGTGTCCTGCAGGTTTAGAACATACAGTCAGATGGTCTCAACTTCCTTCCTAAACGTGGAGCTCTTTGAAGACACAGAAGCCAGTCTTCTTAATTTTATTATTCCCTACAACATACAGCAATTGGTAATCCACACTCAACAGACCCCTGAAGTAAACACAGGGCAGTGGGGAAGTACAGAATATGTATAGGGAACAGATGCTTGGATTGAGTCAAACTGTAGGGCCCTCGGAGACAGATGTGGCAAGTAAATTATGAGAACGGCATTGCGAACATCAAAATGCCAAAACCAGACTCGGAGCTCAAAGATCCTTTCTGTGTCATCCGAGTCTCAAGCCATTCTTTGTTCATCGTAACAAACATCACTTTGTTACCTGGTATGTCGCTAGCATGTGAGACAAGAGATTGCATCTGCTTGCTCCAAGAAGATCCACTTTTTGACACACGTCCATCTTCAACTTGTCAAAGTTTTTTTTTGCAAGGCGTACCTGTGTCTGTACCTGTGAAAACCAAGGAAGAATCTCTGGATTAGTCAGACTCCTAAGTAGTTAACGTTTGCAGGTGAGAGGAGACCCACATGGAGCGCTTCTCTTTCTTACTTGAAAACTCCAGGTAGAGAAGATCCCACAACGTGCACGCTTTACCTCAAACGCTCGACTCAGAGCACAGCCCATATGCCTTTCTAGCAGACTGAAGATCTTCACTGCGTCTTTCTCACTCTTGTGTTGAGATTCCTTTCTCGCCAGGGCATTCACAAACCGACCACAGTGCCGAGGATTCTGGAGATGTGCAGGTGGCACATCGGCTGCTCCACTGTTTACCTGCGTTGCTCGGAGCCCAGTCCCCGCACACTCAGCTTTCCCTCGGGCTATACGTAATGTGCGATGTTTGTGAAGACAAAAGGTGAACAGCAAGCCCATTTACTAACCCACAGACTTGATTTGTATTCCCCCTGTTTTTCTACTAATGCCCTTTTTCTGTCTAGGAGACCTATGAGGAAATTTTGACATAACTTTAAAAACTGCCCCCCCCAAACAATTTAGTATCAAGAAATTACACTAACAATTTTCTGTCTGTCCCTGAACCATACAGTAAACTTAGGGACAGAGTAAAGGTCAAGAAAGATTCAGATATGCCTATTCTCTACACTATTTCATAGTAAAGCAGAAAGTTAAAACGTAATGCAACTTTAAAATGTAATGCAGTAAATTCTGAGTCAGGCAGGAGTTTGGTCTGGCAGTTAAGAAACTATCTGGGATGCTCACATCCCATATCAAGGAACCTGGGTTCAAGTCCAGGCCCTGCCCTGGAGGCCAGCCCCCTGTTGATATTCCCCCAGGAGGCAGCACAGGGGAGCTCTGGGCTGAGCCTAGTTCTGGCTGTGTGGGCATTGGAGGAGCGAACCAGTGGAGGGAAGTTCTTTCTCTTTCCTTCTCTGTATCTCTACCTCTCAAACAAATTTTTAATTTAAACTGTGAAGTCAGTATCTCCCCCTTCTTCCAATTCAAAGTGTTACCACATCATATTATGACCAGAGAAAGCAAGCCAAGCTTTTAAAAACCCACTTTGTGGAGGTATAGTTGACAAATAGAAAGCTGTCTATCTTTAGGGTACTCAACTTTAGAGTTCAAACATTAACCTCTCACAGATGATGGCTCAAGTTGCAGACACAAGATAGGTAACAGAACTGGAGGGGACAATGGCTCCTTACAAAGGCCCTCACCCCAGGACCCCGGCGGGGGGACGCAGCCAAGGTCTAATTTGCCCACCAGCACAGCACCTGACAACCTGCTGCGGGGTGGAGACTTGATACGCATTTGTTGCCACAACGAAATTTTGCAGGTCATTTGAAGAAGTAAGGCATTCGAATGTGTTTTAAAGTGTAACCCTTAAAGTAGTTTTAGAAGTGATGACGGTTGCTGGCGTTGCGGCGCAGTGGATTAAGCTGTCACTTGTGACACTGGCGTCCTATAACCAAACGCCGCTTTACATCCCTGCGCTGGGCTCATCCCTGGTTGTTGCACTGTTGCAGCCATCTGAGGAGTGAACCAGCTGATGGAAGACCTTTCTTTCTCTCTCTCTCTCTCTCCCTCCCTCCCTCCTGCCCTCCCTTTCCCCTTCTCTTTCCCTCTCTCTTTCTGTAACTCTGCTTCTCAAATAAATAAATAAATCTTAAAGACAGGCAGTCAAGAACTGTGAATGAATGCCCATGTGCATAAGGACCTACCAGGCTTTCAGAGAGGACAAAGAAGTTAGCGAGCGCACTGCATTACACTGAAGGGAAACAGAAGAGCAGACTGAGGGTGAGGAACAGAGACAGCACAGACAGCTGCAGGTGATGTCGCTGAAGTCCCCATTACTGGCTCCCTGCATCCCAGCCCGTTGCCCTATAACTCTGTGACGCTCTCCTACTCCGACTCTGCCCTTGGCCTTGTGACTGACTTTGGTCAATGAGATGCTGACAAATGTAACAACACTGGAAGCTTGAAAAAAATAAAATAAAAAGCTGGCCCGCCTCTACTTTTATTCTGGCTTCTCTGAGATTGCCATGAGGATGTGCCCAGGCTAGACGGGTGGATGGGTTCAAGAGACTGCGTGCTGGCCAGCGCCGTGGCTCACTAGGCTAATCCTCCGCCTGCAGGGCTGGCACACCAGGTTCTAGTCCCAGTTGGGGCACCAGATTCTGTCCCGGTTGCCCCTCTTCCAGGCCAGCTCTCTGCTGTGGCCAGGGAGTGCAGTGGAGGATGGCCCAGGTCCTTGGGCCCTGCACCCACATGGGAGGCCAGGAGCAAGCACCTGGCTCCTGGCTTCAGATCGGTGCAGCACACCGGCCGTAGCAGCCATTTGGGGGGTGAACCAACGGAAGGAAGACCTTTCTCTTTGTCTCTCACTGTCAAAAAAAAGAAGAAGACACTTTGAGTGCAAGAGACACGAGAGGGAGAACCCAGTTGTCCTAGCAGATGAGTTTTTGACCAGCGGATCGCAGGCATGCAAGGAAGTCCAGCCATTATCAGTACACCCCTGCCTGCCCCACAGTTAACCACAAACACCCAAGTGAGCCCACAGGGGCCAGAACTGCACTACTAACCCACAGATCTGTAAGCAATAAAAATGCTCAGTGTTTAAAGCCACGGAGTGCTTGGTTGGGATTTCACAGCATTCCTGTGGCTGCAGATAACTGATCTAAGTCGGGACAAGACCATGAAGGCTTCTGATGTGAGGGAACATCTGAGGTGGGTCTCAAAGCATAACCAGGACGCACGAAGTCAATATAAAGTATCTACGTCATTAGCCTCCTGACATGGATATTCTAGATTTTCTAATTAAATGCAAAGTAACATTTTTGGCAGGGGTGTGAATTTTGCTTTTTCTCTTTACAGGAATAAATCAGTTACTCAGAGACAAGTTTATATGCTAGGAGGCAACTTATTTTATTTGCTCGTAACAACGATCTCATGAATTCATACAGTTTGCAATGTGCCCGAAATTAATTTTGCCAAGTGAATTTAGAAACCCAGAAGACGCCTTCAGCACTTGACCCAGTAAGTTCTGAGAGGCCATATGCTTTGTGTGTCAACAATGATTACGAAAATACTTAATGCACTGCTGAGTTTCCAAATGCTGACGCCTTTCCCTGCCAAAGGAGGAGGATGGGACACGGCTGTGCGTCTGAACACGGTAGAGTTCATTTACTGCTCGGTGCACGTGTCTGCTCTAGAAAACCTTTCCAGCCGGCAATCCGAGGACAAAACGCCAAGGACACAGTCAAGCCCGAGCCACCAGCAAGAGCCTAATTCCAGACGCCTCCAGATGCACTCCAGTGAGAAATGCTCCTGGTATCAGCCCTCTCCACCCCAGCTGAAGTACATCCAGTTACGTAAACATCGTGAGGAGCTCCAGTGGTTCTCAAGGTTCCGTGAAAAAACTTCCACTCAAAGAAATGTGCCCCTTGTTTACCTCTGAAGTTCGTCAGCTCCCCTTTCTCCCCATATGCTCTAAATCCTAGGGAATGACTGCATATTACACCCTCTTTGGTTTGGGTCCTGCATCGCCCAGGTCATGGAAATGCAGTGTATCCGAGACAGCAGCAATGCCTGGACTGTCAGAATCTCGGGGTCCTTCCTAACCTGGAAGTCTCCCCCAGGCCCCAACTTGAACCACACGCGGTGCAGCCAAAGCCGTCTGTCCTCTCAGATCAGTCTACTTCCCCTGCCGTGGGGAAGATCTTCATACTGCCTACAGCCAAATCAGGAGAGCGCTGAGCGCTATTATGTTGTTTTCCTAAAGGTTTTGTTTCCTTCAAGAACAATACCAAACAATTCCGCTCTTATTTTTCTACCTCCTCCCGCCCTCCAGTCATTCAGCTAATGTTCATGTAGCATCTTCCATACGCTGGTAGCCGTGGACGCAACATCTGCCCCTGGGAGACTCACAGGGGATATGTTCTTATCACTGAAGGTATAACTGCAGACTGAGCGAGGTGCTCAGCCCCGCAAACACGACTAATCAACGATCCAACCCAGAGGATGTGTCCTGAGAACACGGGGTTCAACCTCTACCCTGGAGGACTGAACACCATTAATTATGTAAGGGGACAGAGTAGTTAGTTCAGGGAGTGGGTGGGTGGGGGCATGTGCAAAGGCCCTGGGGTGAAGGACAACAGGCAGGCCCCAGAACAGACAGCAGGCTGATACAGCTGACTTGTTAACAAGCAGGAGGGTGGTACAAAGTGAGGAGTGGCGGGCTGAAGCACACACTGGAACAGGGCCTCCGCGTGCTCAGGATTTCAGTTTTTCTCCTAGAGCAGGGGGAAACCAATGAAGGCTTTCAAGAAAGGAAGAGCTGGGATCCTTTTCTCAGTTCAGAAGTCTCCCTCACTGCAGCGTGGAGACGGATTGGAGGAGGGATGAAGGCAGACCAGGACGGAGCTGGGGCAGAGCAAGGACGGCGGATTTTCACTTGGAGAGTGAGGCTGGGCAGGGACAACCGTGCTCGTACTGGAGAGAGATTGAGGAGGCAACACAGGACCTGGCTGGGGAGGGGAGGATGACTCCTAGGTACCTGGCCACCCCCAACCCCACGTTGTGTCTAGCTCACCTTCCCCACAAGCTCATTCTGCCAGCTTTGCCGGACACCCCAGAGCACCAGAATCCGTGGCTTTTTTCCCAGCAGCTCTCCACACTCCTCCCTCACTGACGCGTGCTGTTCCTCTGTGTTTTCTGCTGACGAAGCATCCTGCCTTCAGGGGGAGATTTTAAGACCACAGAATGCATCAGTCACTTCCTTTTGTCTTCCGTGAGGTGCCACAAGGGAAAGTCTAAGCCTGTCTGAAGTCACAGAACAGAAGGTCTGGCTTCGTTAAAAGAGCATCTTCTTGTCCAAAGTCAATGATCTAGGACCTTTCAAGGGTCAGATAATTAAGTCCTTGCCGAGTCACTTCAATGAACATTTACCGCACATGCTTTATCATATATGCACCCACTGATGGCAGGAGCAATTT